TTTTTTTTTCATATTTATTATAAATAATTGTTGTTTTTGGTCAGTTCGCAATTACTAGATTATTTTTAGTATGCCTTTTGAAATCTTTTCCCATACATGCGTGGGATGTTTTGCATATCGTTTAAATTAAAATAACTTTACAGTAATATATATATATATATATATATATATATTAAATCGTATTGTAACGTCAAGGTACTGTTTTGACCTGCTGGGAAAGGAAATAGAGGACTCTCCTCTGTTGAAGAATATTTTAGTTCTATTAATGTCTTTAATTTTTGAAAGAATTATAATGATTCCCACTTTGTTAATTGCTAGCTAGTTCTGAAAATACTGAAACTTGAATTATTCAATTACAATTGAATACCCCATTAGCAAAATAAATAATGCGCTTCTTAATTTATGGGCAAAGATAATATCATTGTTTCTAGGGTGTTTTAGTCACGTTACAATGGCACAAGCAGACCCGATCAATCAATCATGCATGCTTAAATTTGACTTGATAATGTGATGCTGGATAATTATATAAAAAAATTAATAGCAACAAAAATCGATATAATTGTTAGCTCCAAAAATTTTTTTAATCTTTTTAGCACATTTTCCTCCTTAACTTCCTGTTCCTAGAGTTAAATTGTACTTAGAAATAGAGTCATTAAGGACATTGTGTCTAGTCTAGCCTTTGTGATATTTTGTGATAATTGTGATTATTTTGAGCTAGTTAGAACTTAACATCTTTCTCATTTAAGCAGGAGAATAGAGACCAGTGTTTTCAAGCTGTGTAAGACACCCTTGAAGTGTAGATTAACTGGAAGGAAGCATGGAAGAGCTCTGAAGACTAATGCAGAAAAATTCTTATTTTCAAATGCATTCGCTGTTGGTTCACCACAGCCAATGCTAAAGCGAACAAAAGAAAATGCAGCTCGAGAGGGGTGAAATTTATGGTTATCATTGTTGATTCACCACAGCCAATCCACAATGAATGAAAAAAAATCTGCTACTGTGTGTTCTGATTATTGATGTGTTGTTTGGGGTTAAATGGAAGGAAAAACGTGATGGCTGGACATTTTGAACTGTTGTGGCTGTCTTGGGAGCTCTTTAGTATGCTAGGGCAAGGATTTGGTGGAGATTGAGCTGGGGTTTGAAGATTGAAAGAGATTTTGACTTCACATTTTGGTTCTTCTTCTCCATTCTCTTTTTCCTTCCTTTTGTTTAGTGTTTATGCTGAATATATGTATTTTCTCATGGGAGTTCTAAACATGTGTTAAAAAAGCTTTGATTCTAGGATTATTTTGAACCCTTGTATGGGTTAACTCTTGATTTCTTCTCTCATTTTGTGATTAATGATATATATGTATTTATTTTACCTGTTGCTTATGCTTCTAAGTGCCTGATCACTATTTAGATGTTTTGTTCATTTTACCCCTTGCTTGAGTGTAGAACTTGAGTAAAATTATGTAAGAACTTAAAGTTTACTTATGGACAGTTTTATTGATAAGATAGAGATATACTTGCTAACCTTACAAAGTCACTTTAGGATTAGAGCTTAAAATTAGTTTTATTAATTGTAACAAGAGATTGAGCAATTATAGAATAAAACACTTATTCTTCACTTGAGAAAGCTTTTACAAGTACATTTTGAATCCTAGACTACACATATTTTCATTAAAAGCTTTGATGAGAGGAGTTAAATTGAATGTTACTAAATACAAGGCGGATAAGTAATTTTATATCCTAATTTATTCTTGAAGTCCAAGAATCATTTGCTTTTATTAATTTAATTTCTAATTTTTAAATTTTTTCATTCTTCATACTTGTGTCACTCAAATTAGGCAATAGTGTGATAATCAATACTTGATCAAGTTTTGAAACCAAATCCTCATGGGAACAATACTTTACTCATCGGTTTATTACTTGTCACGACTCGTACATTTGCAGTGTGAACAATAACTAACACATGCACACAAATATATAACACTATATACCAAATTAATTTTTAATTAACTCTTGAAATCATATAGTTCATTATTTTTAATTAATTTTAAAATTTCATAATCTTCAATACTAGTAGAAGATTTACTACGATAAGAGAGTTTCTTAATTGAATTAACCTGATGCAATTTAAATTCGAATTAGCACGATCCCAAACGATTAGTTAATAAACAAAAAGAAAACTAATTAAAAATTGTAAAAGAAAAAAAGTACACGCAATTTTTGGAATTAGAAGTAAACGGAAAACTACGTGGGACGTACAAGAGCCGTTAAGCGTTGCTAACGTTGAAAAGAAAGAAAACAATTGGCCAGAAAGAAAACAATTGGCCAAAAAAGGGTGGAAGAAAGCAAAACATTCCACTGCATTCTAGCCACCAGCTGCTTGAATTGATACACACATACATATTATACATAGATTTATATAGATGAAGATTGTTGGAAATTCTCGTTAAGTGTGACAAACACAAAAGTGATGATATATATGTCCATCTTCAAACTTGGTGTGCAACTCTTTGACATTAAAAAGTGGTCGGAAAACAAGAGTAAAATTAAAAGAGCGTACCAACCATATACGCAAATGTTCAATACATAAGAACACCGACCATTATATGGAACGTACGGTTGAGTCAAAGGGCGTCTAATCAAATCCCCAATGAATTACTGAAAATGAAATGTGAGAGAGGCAGAGAGCATGACGATAGTGTCAATAACGCGAAACTACAGAAAACTATATAGTGTGAATGTCCTGAAAATGAATTGAAAGAAGGTGGGTCAGTCCAGAAAACTAAGGTTCAATGTTTTTGTCGGTTTCTGGGTTGGTCTATGTGGTCGGCGTTCTCCCATTTTCTTGGTGAATAACTTACTTTCTTTTTCGAAATTATTACTCCATAAATTTTGACTCATTCTTATTTCCATTTTATTGACCACTTTTTTTTTTTAAATTCTTAATAACAGTCCTCAAAGAACTCCTACTTGACCTTTTTTTTTAACTGCTTCATCTGCTGGACAATGTTATAATGAGATTATTTTTGGAGACTGGGGGTGTGGGTTATAAAAATATCAAATATTCCATTTTGGGGAAAATATCAGAAGATGAAGGTAGGAGAGGGGTAAATTTGATTCAGAGAGAATTATAGTTATGTATGGACTACTTAACTATGATTTAATGTTTATAATCGCGACAAATTATTGACCATCACTATCATTGATCACGAGAATCATCGTATAATTCATAAGCTTTTAACTAGTTTTTGGCCAGGGACGCTAATATATTTACGTATGAATGCATACTTATTTTTATTTATCAAATTTGTTTATTTGCAGTTTTGGAAATTGGGATCGGGAGAGTGAATAAAATTCATAAAAATCAGATGACGTTTCAGGATTCCAAAATTATTTAATATGCCTCCCAATTAAGGTCACAATCCAATTCTCCATTGGCTTGATGCCAAGTGTCACATTCATACATATAATATTCAATCAATAAATAAATAGTAATTAAAATTAGTGCACCATATTCAACTCTCGTTAATTATTGTATATATGGAAGACATATGCGACTTCAAGACTCATGAGTAGGCGTAGAAAACCCAAAACAAAAAACAAGAGGAAAACCAGAGAGAATAAGGAAAAATATGGAAACTAGAAATTAATTGTGTACCAAACAAGAACCTCAATTTCCTGCTTTTTCACAACGGGAAAGAGGGAAGAAAGAGGTATTCAGATGGAAAAGTCAAAGCCTCTCAAAACCCTCTCTACTACTAGTTACAATAACAGCTGCAGAATCGAATAATAATAATAATCTATATGTAGGGGTACTCCTAAGTCTTAATGGACAATCTAGTCGCAGACCATTTTTATTATCTATGCACGATCCAATAATGTCAATGCCTTCCTCAGACTTCCCACGAAATCCTTTGCTGTCATACTGTGCTCATCGTCCATCTGCTAATTAAAAAAGAACATGCAAAAATTGACATTACTGGACTTGAAGGAAATTTAATGCGTCATTGATTAACACATATATAAGCTAACTTGATTAATATATTTACCTGAGCTATGATAGTTATACATAGAGTGGCGTCCCCGAATGGCAAGATGCTACTGCTTTGAACAGTGAGATGAAGGTTTTCTAATTCTCTCAGAATTTTAGCCTCACACCCTTCGTGTTTCTCGCATTGGATTCTGATGAACACATTCTTACCCAGAACTCTGGCTTCGATTTCTGCAAGTGGCTGGCCGGAAACTTCATCGGACGGGGAGTTATCATTGTCGGCGAAGAGAGTAGTTCTTCTCTTTAAGACTGCGGATTCCTTTCTTTTCATGGCGACTTGTTCTTCCAGAATCTTTTCGCGTTCCTTCAGTTGTTTTATGCACTCTATAGCATCTCCCAACACTGAAGCCTTGTCCATCTGCAGCCGAATAAACATTAAATTAAAATGTGCATGATGTTAATTAGTTGTGCCTGGTAAATATATGATTAATTAAAAATCAAATAAAATAAAATTACCTTCTTGAGGCCCGGAATGATGGAGGAGAGAGCAATGAACTTCTGGTTGAGCTTTTCCCTTCGTCTTCGTTCGGACAGGACGTGATCTTGGGCTTGGAGTGGATTTCTCGTCACGGTGCCCGCCGTGTTCCTCAGTTTCTGATCATTTATGTTTTCATAGTATGATCCTTGGCAGCTCAAGGACGAAAAATTCAATACGTTTTCTTCATTCATAGTTTCGAGCTTAACATTGGAACTCTGGTTGGAACATTGGTGCATATTGGAGTGCTCAAAAGAAATCAGTCTGGAAGCATTATCAGACTTATTGGTCTTCACCTGCAGCTTGCTTGGTCTTGGTACTGGTGGGGCAATAATCGACTGGGGATTCTGTGTTTTCTCGGAGTTGGGACTCTCGTACGAGGAATAACTGTCGGAGACCAACGATTGGAAATCAAGCCCGTCAAAATAATCCACCGGCAACTGCTCAAGCATTGTCGTATCCTCCATCCCCTTATAAATTGAATTAAATAGTCCAACTCATGTTACATGCTGCTCTAGTTTAACTAATATAACTCCATACCAGACTATGATACAATTAATAGTTGATGAGTTTGGGTGCTTACGAAATCCGGCAAGTACATGGCGGAGGTTATTTCCATCATCTGATTCTGACAAGTTCGTCGTCGTGGACTTGAAACGGGATGAGACACTGAGTAGCACCAAAATGACACCACAAAATGTTAATTCTGAGAAATTTGAAGCTTAACTGTTCTGGTTTTGAAGAAGGAGGGTGGCTCACCTAGAAAGAAGGAAGAGAGCAGTGGAATAAGGAGAAGACGATGGATGGACCTGATCACTGAGAGCAGGCAGAGATGAAAGGAAGGAATCGTGAAAGATCAATTATATATAAGAGATCGTACACGCTTCGTACCCCGTAATAACCTAGACACGTGTGAAAATGGAGTTATTATCTGCGTTTAGATGTTAGGATGCCGTTGCTATAACTTCACTCGGTTGATTAGTTTGGTCAAATAGTGGGTTCCATCTTTAATTTCTTCATTAGAATTTGATTGCTTTTTTTCTTTCCTTCATTTCTCAGAAGCACCACGTCAGCAAATGATATGCATGCATTACTTCTCCATATCTCATACCGACCACCACTGAAACTTAATTTCTTCCCAAAACCTCTCCTCTCTTCTAACTCGTATTTGATTTTGTACCATCATTATCTGAAATTTTTTACTCTAAAGTAAACAGTACAACATGTGTTCCAAATTTCACTCCCCCCCCCCACACCAACTATTAATAATAATAAGAAAAAAAGATCGAATTTATACGAAGCTTCCCCAAGAATGCTTCTGCAGTTCAAAGCAATTTGAACACGAAACTTGGGGAAAAGCCGAAAAAGAAAAATAAGGATAAAATGAGATCAAACAGAGAAGGGAAAAGTAGAATTATTATCAACAAGCATTGGAGGGTTTTGGAGCTGAGTGATAGCTTATATTCTGGTGTACTTGTTCTGGTAAAGGAGACCGGCCAGAACCGAACTTAGAATTTAAAAAACAAGGTACACCAAGTGTTGATGTGTCATTTAAAAATGGGCATATCTGACCTGTGGCTACGATGTTACATGTGTGAGACATTGGGCGATATCTTTATTCACTGGGAAAAATATCCATCACAGTGTCTGTAAATATATAGTAATTTTTTTTTAATATGCCCGTAGCAATTTATGCAAGTCAGGAGTCAACATAGTAAATCGTAACTACAATAATGATCCGGCGGATATCGCGCAGCCAGAGCCCTTTGTCCAAAAGTCTCTGATTTGATGCGCCCCTTTTACCTATTTTTAATTCATTATATATATATGGGGGATTAATTCACTTAATTATTAGAATTACTGACGACAATAATGATTCAATCATTAATTCTAGAAACTCTGACCCAAGCCACCCAGGCATGGATCATACACAGATAGGTAGAAAGCGATGTGAATGCAAGTGACTGCCAGGAAGGTTATAAACGCGTTCAACAGATTTTGATTTTGACTTAATGTAGTTTATCCAACGTTGTCTCGTTGAGTTATTCAAAGTTCGATACATTTTCATTTGTACTGCTACTAGTTACTGCAGGTCGACTTGATGTAGCGAATGGTATGATTGGCTTTGATAGTTGGATTTATGCTGTTAGTTCTGTATTTTGGAGTTACGGTTGGAATATTGAAGACTTGATTGGATCAAATTCATAGGTTTCTTATGAGATTAATTATAAGTGATTTGATACTGCCGGGTTTTAGCTTCTGCCCTGCCATGTCAGTTTAACCTAGAATTAATTATTTTCTCTTGCACGTGCGTTTAATTTACATTCGTAACGGGATTCCCTTGGGGCCAACCCCATCTCAAACTTGACTTCAAATCCAACTTAATTTTAGTAATTCCTCTTTTTATTTTTATAAGTAACAACTACCATTTTCTTTTTTCCCCCTAAATATAAACAACATTTATAAGTTATTTTAAATTTTTGTAGTAAATTTCCTATTTCACCCATATTAATTACTTATTTTAATACCAAATATATTTATTATCTCATTTCCCAAACTATTATCTTTCTCCATTCACATTTTCTCTCTTTCATATTTTTTTTATTATAGTAATTTTTTTTATTCTCTTTCTTATACTCTTTCTCTCCCCCCACAAATAAGGGTATTTTAGAGAAAGAACTTTTAATTTTTACCTATTTACTATCTTTAACTAATTTTTTTTATTTATGTGATGGAATCTAAAATTACTTATAAAAAAGAATGGAATGAGTATTGTTTCAAGATGTTTCCTCAAAAGCACAATGAGTCGTTCTCACCCGTCTCTTCATCTTGATGGATGACACATGTAAGGGTAAGCAAAACCAAACCGTAACTGATAACTGAACTGAACAGAAATTAATTCAGTTTTTATTTTTATTTTGGTTAATTTTTCAGCTATTTCGGTGTTTGGTGTCCATAAAAAAATATTTTAGTTATAACCGAATAACTAAATATAAACCATTTTTTATTATTTTTATTTTTTTCTCCCTTTTTTCACTTTTATTTTTCTCCCTTTTTAAAAATATTTTGGTCAGTCCCTGACTTCCTTTAGTCCATTAGTCTCTTGCCTTCTCACTCTCACAAATAGACCCAGAAACCAAGTGGCCAGTAAAACTCTTGCCCTCAAATGCGTAAGCCGCAGCAGCGTAGCCTTTGTCCTTCTTCCTTCTTAGCTTCTCCTGCCACAAATCACACTGTCATCCGTCTACCGTCATTGCCTCGCCTCCTCACCTCCATTGTTCGTCTCTTTGAATTTCAGGTTTGTGGCTTCTGACGTCCTTTCCTCCATCATCATTTATTCGCACTTCGCCTCTGCTTCATGTCTTCTAGCCTCCTCAACTCCATTACTCAGCTTCTCAGCTTCATCGATTGTGGCCTCCTCAACCCCATTGCTTAGCTTTTGGGCTTCATCTAAGCCTTCCAGTGTGGTGGCATCCTCTCCAGTCTCCTCGATCTTCTATGAGCAGTGCTCTCCTTCGATAGTGACATAGGCACACAACGTTACTCTGTATCTACGTGAGGTGTGACTAGTGAGTCTATGAGTGATAGTGTTAAATTTAATTCTCTACATAATATTCCTCAACATTTACCGAACAATAGTGTTAATTGATTTGGCATGTAATTCAATTTTTCAAAAGCGTCATTTGGTTTTTTATACAATCTATTGTAAATAGGTTTTTTTATTCAATTAGATGTCTTCTCATGGTGAAACCATAGGCAATGCTCAAGCGGCAGATGATGGTGCTACTCAAACAATGAAGCCTTCAATGTTAATAGCAAGTGGGACTACAAAAAGAAGAAGCATGAAGCCAAGATCAAAAGTTTAGGAGTATTTCACCAAAATTTATGAATTAAAAAGGTGAAATTAGAGGTAAGTGCAATTATATATTGTGGAAATGATCTTGCATGTGATCCAAAAGCTAATGGAACCACTACACTTAACAACCATTTGAGTACTTGTAAATTGAAGCTCCCTCCCAAAGAACTTGCACAACCTCCTTTAAACTTTAGTGTAGAAGATGACAAAATAGGTTTTGCAAATTGGAAATTTGATCAAGATTCTATTAGAAAAGCCTTGTCATGCATAATAATTACTGATGAATTACCTTTTAAGTTTGTTGATAGGAGTGGGCTTAGGTAATTTATGTCCATTACTTAACCAAAATTTAAAATTCCATCAAGATGGGCTATTGCTCGTGACTGTTTTGGAATTTATATTGAGGAAAAAGTTAAATTTAAAGACTATTTGTTGCATAAAAGGCAAAAGGTTTGCCTCACCACGGACACTTGGACTTCCATTCAAAGAATTAATTACATGTGCATTACTGCTCATTTCATAGATGATTCATGAACATTGGGAAAGATGATTTTGAATTTCATTCCAATTTCTAGTCATAAAGCTAGGAAAGGATATTGGAATGGAAATGGAAAAATGCCTACTTAAATGGGAATTGAAAGGATGCTCACAATTACAGTGGACAATGCCGGTTCTAATGATGTCATGGTTCAATATTTACAAGGAAAAATTATGAATTGGGGTCACTTAATTATGAAATGTCAATTCTCACATATGAGATATGTTACGCACATAATCAACTTGATTGCTACTGATGGGTTGAGAGAAATCGGAAGTTCAGTGAAAAAGGTTAGAGAAGCAGCTTGCTTTATTAGACAATCACCTCTTTAAATGAGGAAGTTCAAAGAGAGTTGTGAAGATAAAAAGATTCAAAGTAGACAAATCCTATGCTTAGATGTCCCAACTAGGTGGAATTCTAACTATTTGATGTTAGAGATTGCTCAAAAATTTGAGGTAGCCTTTACAAGGTTTAAGGATAAAGATCCTTATTTTTCATTTGATCTTCAAGATGGAAAGGGAGTACTTGAGTTTGAAGATTGGAAGAATGTTAGGAGGATGATCATGATGTTGGGTTATTTTTATGAACTTACTGTGTGGATATATGGCTCTTTATTTGTAACATCCAATACTTTTCTTCATGAAATTTATAAGCTATATCATTTTTTGGATGAGTAGACAAAATGTGATGTCTGGGAGTTGGCTTCCATGGCAAATGAAATGAAAGAGAAATTTGATAAGTATTGAGAAGATCCTATGAAGATGAACCAACTTCTTTACATTGTTGTTGTTCTTGATCCCCGATATAAATTAGATTGGGTGCAATTTGCCTTGTGTAAAATGCACACAAGTGTAATTGGCACAAGTTTGGGGATGCATGTTAAAGAACTTTTAATCCTTTGTATAGTGAATATAAACACTTTTTCCCCCCCTCAACCCAATCTGAAAGGGATTCATTGCATAGCACATAAGAAGATTGTCATAAAGATGATAACCCTATTGTAAAAGTCAGAAAATTGCTTGATATTGAGGAACAAGAGTTCATAAATGATTGTCTTGGTAGAAGAACTAGCA